TGAGGCATCCAACCACGCCATCAATCCCAGTAAAAACATTAGGTCACGTCAGCTAGTTTCCTATCCATTTATTTTATTATCCATGCTAAAAGGTACGGATTACGGATATACGTGTTTTTCCTCACGTCGCTACGGAAAGCAAGTGTAAACGCCTACTTAGCTACATGCGAGCTTCTCTTTCACTCGTCCTGTTTACTACCCCCAAAACTACTTTCGGCTCGCTTTGTGAATGAATATTGGCCCGTGTGTAAATTTACTTGTGTAAACCTTATGTTTGCTTGCAATATCGAGCACGCGTCTGTATATAATGCTTGTATCATCATATAACAATGTCGACTGTATATTAGCTCAATATATTCACATAACAATATGTATATAGGACATAAGTTTTGAATGAAACAATATTTTGTCGATGTTTCGATAACAAACACATTTTAGTGAAAAACATAATTCGATATACATGCATCTTGTTTATCTTGAATGTTTTGTATAATTTTAACCCATTCGCAAACGGGATGATCCCATCAAAAAATTTCAATGCTTTGCTTCCGAGCCGTAACCTGAGGCGGATAATGTTCATTTAACAGGTGACCGAAAACTGTTTATAATGCATAAACCGAATCCAATTATTACTTTGTCATACATTCAACTATGGTTCAAAAAGCTAGTGGAAAAAAATTCTCATGAGAGAAATTTAGAAACTTTGAATCGACTCCAAGGCAGTTTTCGTATAGCTTTTTGTAAATTTCACGGCTTTTCGCCAACAAACATTCGTTTCGTGACCATAGTCATAGGTTTGATTATAAAAATAGAAGGAAAAACACTGGAAATGTAACTGTTTGTGACTCATTTGCATTTTTCTGTTGTTCACAGCCGAAGGTCAGTAAAGGTCTAGAGGTACGTCAATTTCTTTCAGGGCAGTTGCAAGAGATCAATAATTAAAAAGTTACATAACTGAAAGTCATGACGAAGTAAAACATCGACCAATTCGCACGCGTATAGTAGATGGATCCTTTCGTGATATGCGTCATCTACTCACACTATATGAATAAGTAATCTTCATTCCGTGCAATGCATGAAAAATATCAATACATTTAGCAGGTATAGGATGTCCAATTCGTGGCTGCATGTAAGCACGTCAATGCAGTCTTAGTAACAAACATCGGATGAACGTTGTGAGATAGGAAAGTCACGCTATATATAAACTAGCATTGCTATTGGACATTTTTGGAACGGCCCTTATAGGACGTCAAGGGAGAACAGTTTAGAACTCATTAAACCTATCCAATGTAAAGTTAGAAAATTATAGTTTTAAACCAGGTTGTATAAAAAGCTAGTTAGCTGATTAGAGTTAACTATATATAGTTAGTGCGAGAGTTAACCAATCAAACTCGCGTATTGTAGACTGTAGAGTTAACTACAATTCAACTATACACAATTGTGGTTAAAAAGTAAGAGTTTTATACAACCGGCCCCAGATGACTTGTTGAGAGAATTTTTTTTGAATGTTCTTTTGAACATTCTCTTAAAAACAAAACTTTCTTCTTGTTAATTGTAACTGATGTCGCTTATCTTAAGATTTATTTGCCTATTGCACTTTTTTGACCATCTCAAACACCACACAAATTTTACTTGTCAATAAAGATGTAGCCACACCCAGTATACTGTATATATAAATAAGGATACTGCCAACCTTGGTTCAGTCTGAGCTTCTCAAATATAAGGTGTTCTTGTATAAAACCCACTTGAAAATACGCCTGAAAGCATATACGACGTTACGCAAAGTTCACTTTCGTTTAGTCCGCTTAATTCTTCAAGCTCGAATAAAAGCTCTCTTCCAAGACACTTTTTCACATGTAATTTGTAAATTTCATCGGTTTTTGTTTTGTTTTGTTTTGTTTTTGGTGAAAAGGAACATCGGTTAAATCAGTTTTCAAAAAAAAAAAACGTTTGGTTTACCAATTAACTGCCTCACCCTACTCGAATAAAGGCCGAAAAATCCGTCATCTCTGGCTTAACTTCTCATTCAAGGATTTTTTCTTAATCAATGCGACGCCATTTCGAATCGTGATGCATCGTGGTCTACCCGAGATGAAACAACATTTTTGTGTGGTCTAAATATACTATGTGGTAAAATGATTACGTACTAAGTACAGATCCATTTTAGAAACATCAGGCTGCATAGATGTCATAAAGTTTACAATGAATTTTGTTTGGCCCTAAAAAAATACCTGTGGTTCCGGTTCCCGACCGACCCTATTATTTTTCAACGCGATTGACCGTGCGACCTTATTTTCTCCGGGTGGTTGCGGGCTGCTCATACAGCGTGCCAAAATAGCGTCTGTTGGCACACTAATTATTGAACCAAATTGCCTAAATTCATCCATAGGAAATACGCATCTCAAGTTAATATTGATGTCGGGACTCTACTGCAAATCGCCCAGCAAAAAAAACTAAAAATACTCGAAAAAAAAATTATTTCCGACCTACCGACCCTAATTTCTTCACGATATGAAACTGGAACCACAGGTATTTTTTTAGGCCTCGGCAATTAATTTATTCATACCTGAGCACTTTTTGTCTGCTCAGGTTGTCCAAGTATTTGATACACAACACTGTAACAATGTTCAATTACCCAGGAAAGACCACGGTCAATCCATCATGACACAAGGTGATGTCAAAACTGATAAAAAGCCAAATGACTGAATTTCTTATTACAGTTAAATACAAAGATCAGTGCTCCACTCACCTACAGCACTCTGATCCCTCTTCCTAGCAAATGCTACATCATGCGGCAATTCAAACGACACGCACATCATCATTTTCTTGGGAGCAACATTTCGTACACTGTACACCTCACAATTCTCCAACTTTGCCACACCTAGCTGTGACGAAATCTGGCTCATTGCATCCAAAACTGTATCTTCGGCCTTCGAAAAACAATAGCAGTGAACCCTTGGTAGTTTAGCAGTACATTTAACTGCTACCGTACTGTAAACTCCTTTAAACACATCAAGGAAATCAACTGCAGTTGCTGGCAGATTCATAATGACGTGGTCCAAACACAATTCCTTATTTTTCTGCAACAAATGACTAAAAAATTCTTTGGCATCCATATTAAAACAATATACTCTTTCTTCAACATGGTTTAGCTTACAGTTTTTCACGAGTGCTGCATACGATTCAGGATTCAAGTCATTAGCATAGACGAGGCAACCCTTTTTGGCAGCCGGGATTGCAAATGGCCCCACGCCGGCAAACATATCACAGACAATCTCATCCTTTTGGAAAATGTCGACCAACCGTTTGTGTTCACTTTGTAGCCGCGAGTTCCAGTAAACTTTCGAGAAATCAAAAGAAAAACTGCAACCATGTTCTTTTACTATCGTGATCATGTTGTTTTCTCCAGCCAAAAGTTCCATTTGGAAAAATCTGTACGTTTCATCGATTGCATTCACTTTATTCACTACTGTTTTGATTTGAGGAGAGTTTTTGTCCAAAATCACTTGACCTTAAATCAGAGAGCTGAAAATAATACATTGGCCAGTGGTCATGGCTAAAGGCTATTTCACTGCATGCATGGCACAACAATCTTCCCTCAATGCTTACACTAACCCATTAGGCTGAAATGTGCCAAATATGCATCTTCAGTAACTTAATCCTTTTTCTCTGTCCAACGCCAGAATATTTTACTCAATACATCAATGAGTTAACAAAATTATCTGCCAATGCTATGTATCTTTAGTTAACATATGTTACTGCCAATGCTATGTGCCTGGCGTTAGACCATAGATATCTTATATACACTAGATAGCGCATCTCTGTTAGTAAAATTGAAGCCAAGAATATTCCAGCGGTTAACCCCATTTGAATAGATGGCGGCCATGTGGAGTTTTCCACTCGCTAATCAACGCTTAAAAAACAACAATAACTTTCATCATTTGAATAGTTTGAAAATGTATTTGGAATAGGTTTAACTAAATGTTTATAAGTTCCCTGTTTAAGAAATAGAAAACATACGAGTCTTCTCATTTCATGGGAATATCCTGAGTCTGCAATCACGGCTTTAATTTTTGAATTGCAGAATAATTAGATGCACTATCTAGTGTATATAAGATATCTATGCGTTAGACAGAGTAAAATACTCTGGCGTTAGCAGGGTCTGAAATTTAAATTGTTCCTCAGTATCCAACTGGGATACAAGGATTCAAAGTTTAGTACCTACCCCCCTGAGAATCCAGTATCCCACTTCTGGATCATTCTGCTTACCATAACTACAGTATTATACCCTGTCCCATCCAAATAACTCTTGCTGTTACAAATTACAATAATAACCAGTGCTGTAGCCAGCTCGATAATTGGGGGGCGGGGGGGGGGGCAGATATTCATATATTCGTGTTCACAGACCATAAAAACAATCGATTTCAAAAGAAATTAATAACGCAGAACACGAATATATGAATTTCTGCCCCCCTCCCCAATTATCGAGCTGGCTACGGCACTGATAATAACAGGAGATTCAACAGTCAACAACTAGACAATTCATTAATACACAAAAATAATATGAGGAAAGGCTTGGATGGCAAACTCATAGTATTCAAAAGCTATCTGGAGACTGTCAGAGGTGCTTAACATTTTCCTATGTTTGAAATTTTCTTAGTATCCAGTTGGGATATAAGTCATTCACAAATTGGTGTCCAAAACCAAATATTAGTATCCCGTGGATATTGGGATACTGCAAATTTCAGACCCTGTGTTAGACAGTGTAAAATACTCCAGATGGCGTTAGACAGAGTAATATATTAAAGTAGGGTGCACATTAGGGTGCATTGCCACTTAAAGGGTTAAGAGGATGCATGGGTTGGCATTGGTTAAGTTAACCCATTAAGCTGCAATGCACCCAAATGCACCGGACGGACAGTACTGTCTAATGCCAGACTCGTTAAAAGTCTTGGAGATCAAAGGGTTAAACCTTAAAACACTACCTAAGCTGCCATGGTCTGTGTCCAAACTACAGTCACTCTGTACATGATAAAGATTAAAGCACCACGGCATTACCTTGACCATCAAACAATGAAGAGCCTTAAGCCCTGGGCAAACTAGGAAACATTGTTGCGGAAACATTGTTTCCTGCCAATGTTTCACCATGTTTTCCAGAGTGGGCAAACACTAGGAAACATTAGCGAGAAACATACTAGGAAAACATCAAATGTTTCTGAATTCGCTAGGAAACATTTTTGCTTCTCAGGAAACAACGTTTCCACGGGTGGGCAAACAGGGAAACATTTGAGGAAACATCGAGAATCACAAATGTTTCCACAACAATGTTTCCTAGTTTGCCCAGGGCTTTAATCTATTTGCTGATATTCTGTAAGTGACCATGGACAAATAGATTCCATCCCACTTTGCTGACTTGTCCTGTGATTGTGACTTCTTCCCCCTACCCTATTGCAGACTTTTGATTTTTCAATGTCTGGTTTACGTAGAACAGTTAGTTTTCAATCCAATGATTTAATAATAATCATGTATTTTGATTGCATCAGTCCCTTAGGCCAAAAATTTTCATTATTTAAAAAAAATTCTTTATTTTCATGCAAATAAAGCACTTTGCTACACAAACTCAGATTCCAAACATTAACTATATAGGCCTACTAGCACATAAATTATATATTTACTGTATGGAACGTATATATGTACGCAGACATGTCCAGTACATGAATACAGCAATATATTTACTAGACTAGCATTTGGTGCACATGCATGTACATGCACATAAAAAAGTCTAATTCCATACAGGTGAAATTGGCACATACATGTACTGATATCTTCAGTGATGCAATATCATGTTAAATGGTCAATAAACAATAATGACAAAATATCAGAGGCCCAGACTAATGTTTGGCCTGTATTCCCCACACAGAAATTTTAGCTGAATTTCTGTCTGTGCATTTTCAAGAAAATCTTACAAAAAGAGCTGCTCCCGATTAATTTTCCAGTCGATTATGCTTTTAAAACAGTAATCGGATCATCTATAACACCACACAGTGTGATGCGCGAATGACTTCTCAATGCAACAAGATTGTGATTGAAACAATTGAAACTAGAGTTATATTATGGATATGAACAATGATGTAAATCATTCTTACTATTGCTTTACATGCACTAGGCTGGGAACCAAAGAAGAAAGCTAAGGCAAAAATGATGTACAAAGTGTTAAATAAAATGGGTCCCAAATCACTTTTTCATACAAAAGTGAGAAAACTAATTACAATCTTCGGGAAATTTCAAGTGGTCTTAGTTTACCAAGTCTGCATACTAACAATATGAAAAATAGTTTCCTCTATGATTGACCATACCTTTGGAATTTTATTCCAATGAAAATTAGGGAAAGCAAAACTCTTTGTACACGCCCCTTGTGGAAATCAGCTTCGGTTAACAGGGACAGCATGTATAAATAAAGTTTTTACTATCTAACTAAACATTAAATGACAAATTTATTCAAAACATTGTGGGTAATATCAATTTCATGCAAAGCATGCAAAGTTTACCGTAGTCTGATTGGGTCGTTCCAGAAAAGATCCATACCCCCCACGGAGGAAATTTTTGCTGTCCGAAGGGGGAGGGAGGAAAAATGTCTTAGGATGTCCGAAGGGGGGGGAGAGGAAAAATGTGTTAGGATGTCCGAAGGGGGGGAGAGGAATGTGGATATGTTTGTCTGAAGGTTTGAGACTGTGATAAAGCTATGTGATCGGCGATTTAATGAGCACGCAATTTTTATCGGCTATATGTAGCTCTTGAACACCGGAACGTTTATGTAACAGCAATAATTATACGTCTACGTAACTCGTAAGCAAAATAAGCGGCCCACTTTTGCATGCATGGCCACCAAAAACTAACTCGCTGTATGTTGAGAATGAGTCGAAAATTGACATGCTTTATTTATATAAAAGTAAAGTTTTGCAGTTATCGTTCGTATATATAAGTTTGAATTATTCAAGTGTTAAAAATAATAGTTATTAAACTGTTGCTCGAATTAAGAGACTGCTATGTGAACTGAACTCAAAACAATTTGTTTTAGTATATAGTCAATAAAGCTTCCTTGCGAGGTGCGTGTCTAGAAAATAGAAATGGCTTTCATATTAAGGGCGAGGTGAAGGAATGCAGCTTCGTGTGAACACAAACGTGTAAACTCGAATGCTTTTCAGTTAAATTTCTTGGGTCTATTTGAAATATTTTGGGTTTACACGAGTGCTAATTCAATTTGTAAACAAACTGTAATGGCGGTAGTGTGAACACACGTAAATTCTGCCCGCATTAGTTCGCTCGCGCGTAGTGTGAACGCAGTCTAATTTTCGGTGACGTTTTCAAACGGCGAGGTAGCCTTTAGAAAAATTTTAGAAATAGTGGATGTCCGAAGGGGAGGGGGGTAATTTTGGGCTTTGATGTCCGGAGAGGGGGGGAGGATGAACCATTCAAGGATGTCTGAAGGGGGGGAGGGGGTTATTTTCGATGTCCTCCGTAGGGGGGTATGGATCTTTTCTGGAATGACCCATGGATATTTTACCAGTGGCATTAATATTACCATTTACATCCAACATTGCAGCATGCGAATATAAACCAAATATCCATAAAAGTCCAAGTCTCACAAATTTACATGTAGGTAAACAACTAAAGTGTCATTTCAACATCCTTAATATCATTTCTGTCTTTTCATGCATGTCTCTTGTGCGAAGTGGTAAAGAGTGCGAGATCTATAATTGTGATTAACGTTTAAACGAAGATTTTAAACATTTATACTGACTGTGCAACCCCCAAAAATTTAGTAAAAAGTTTAATTACAATTTACAAACCTGTCAAACCACCATTGACATGGTGTCATATTTAAATTACTTATCAATACGATCAATCGATATTAACCGATGGGAGTGCTCAGCTCTAACTAATGATTTATTTTGTCAAGCTTTATACGTGTTGGGCCTTGCGAAAAGGTAGAGAAAACTCTGAATTTTTCTGCCCGACATCCCCATAGTGGCATATATTTGTGGAAGTTATGCAACCACTCTCAAATGTTCTGCATTCATTTCCGTGCAACTGCCATTTACAATGGAAACGTTGCCCGCACAAAAGTAATACTTTACAGTCTGGCCCGAGGCCTTAACGACTTACCAATTAACTGCTTATAACTCAACTGGCACTCCCTCAAATTCATATGTGCAATATGACCAACACTTTCAAACGCAGTAGTGACTTCCCCAATATCTTCAGGCAGTACAGCCCTCAGGACTTGATCAGAATTCCAATATTCATAATCCAAACTAAGCTCATATTGTACCCTTTCACAATTGCACTTCTTTAACAGTTCCTCGTCCCCTTCGGTTAATGAAACGTTTGGATTTAATAAAACAATCTTCTTCCTTGAATTATCCTCAGTATCGGGGACAATGTTTCTTAATTTTGGCTGATTAAGCAGACATTTGTTCAACTGTTTTAAAAGGATTGAGCAATGTTTAGCATCAATTTTCAAACCGGGAACAACGACGTTTCTTTCAAACGCATTGCGATCTATTAATTCCTTCATACCACGAACACATTCTGGTGGACTTAATTCAAGTGACATTGTCTTATTATTTAAAAAATAGACAGTTCTCTTTTAAAATAGTTTTGCTATAAAAATCTTTCTATATTAAAATCAAATATGGCGCCATGTGAGCCGTCATATGGTTTGCCCAGCGGAAGCACAATGAGCAATACTTGATATAAAAATCAGTGAACGACTGAACGACATCAAATTTTTTTTTTTTACGCCCGTAAAAAATATCAAATTCTTTACATTTATTTTTCTATTGTTTTGGATAGTGAATAAACTGGAACGCTACACATTCAGATAAACTGTCCATCTTTTTCTCGAAGCCAAAATTTGACCTCCAGACACTTAGATCATGCGTGTTGTCTTCTGGTTGGAGATAGCGTTCTGTATTCAGTTCAATGGTTGGTATATCACATTATCACCATGCATATTAGCATATACAGTACAATGTGCCATATACCAAATATTAGGGCACCTTCAAAGGGGTTAGCCGTTAGCTTATGCTATCATAAACGAAAGAGAAAATAAAAGAATTTAAAGAGCGAATGGGGTATACCCTATTGGCTACAAAGAGGCAAATTACTGCCGCAACCAACAGAAATTATTTATCTACCCTGCTGTTCCTATTTTTTCGACTATGGTTGATGAACGACTTGTGACTAATGCATGTTTTAATAACTTTTATAGTCTACCACAGAAATTTAATCACAAGGAAGCCTCCCGCATCAAATCTTTCGCTATAAAAGGGCCTACTTTCCGGGATGAACTTTAATTGATACTCAAGGGAAGCTCAGATTGAACCTCCACTCTTTGAGTGTGAGGGAGTTTTTAGAAACGAAGTGACTATATGACCGGCAGCCGGTCACGGTTTATAAAATACTAAATGGCCGGCAGTCTAGTGACTATTGTTAAAGTTTAATTTTTATAAGATAAACCTATCCCCAACCCCAAACCCTTTTCTAACCCTAACCCCTAACCCTAACCTTTTGAGAGTTAGAAAAGTCGGAAAAAAAGTTTAAAAAATTTTAAGAAAAAACAATGCTAAGTCAGACAAAACACATCGCGACCCCGACTGCGCTTAACTTTCCGCACGCAGCGTCCTTGCCGTATGAGCTAACGGCAAGCTCGGTAAAAGTTAAATTAACGCAAACAAAAGTTTTTATATTCAACTATAGTCACTAGACTGCCGGCCATTTAGTATTTGATAAACCGTGACCGGCTGCCGGTCATATAGTCACTTCGTTTTAGAAAACAGGCGAAAGACTACCGGATTTACTTTTTATGGTGTTCGCAATCAATTAATACAGTAACTATTGACCGCCATAGAAGTATTTTTAATAACACTACAAATATCTTATCACAATTTTATTTAAAGATTTGCACAATAAAAATCTACACATATGACTATGATCTCATTGATCTGCACAACAAACTAAAATTAAGAATAAGTTTCAACGTAATACTAATCTAAGGCGAGATGAAATATGGATTTACTTATTATTTTGATTGCTAACATCATTACAAAAGATGCTTATCTTATGGGCTTAAAGGGTCACAGTGACGCTTAGTATGTGAAATAACACGTTTTAAGCCAAAACCAACACGTCGATTCGAAAAATGGTTGCCGCCCGTAAATATCTCGAAATCAATCTTAAACATAGACATTACAATATCAGAGTGTTCTCGAACAATAACAGTTTTAGAAATCAAAACGAAATTTTTAAAATAAATATTTTAAGAGGTTTTGAAGTCGTTCCTTGAACTGGGAGTATAAAATCTAAATACAAAACTATGGAAGCAAAGTAGTGAGCTTGTACAACCTATTCTCGAATTTGTACGTTTTGACAAAATTTCGTTGCTCGCCCCCAACTCGATTCCTTCGTGACAACACTGGCATGGAATCGAGTTACCGTCGGGAAATGGTAGGCTAGGGAAACATTCATTCTTTTACAATCATCCTACATGAACAAATCAAAATGTACTGTAAGACTACGTTCTAATAAAACTGTAACTAAAAGTTTACAAATCAATCTTCGGCCTTTCGTCGACGTCTTTAAATTTCCTCCACACGTTCTGAACGTGACAGAGTCCACTTCAACTAAGAGTTTACATCTAAATCCTGTCGATAAAAATAATGAAAAAAAGTTAATAATGATTGTTTAATCGTCGTCTTCGGAGTCATCGCCTGATCCACCTTCGACCTCATCGATCACTTCAAAACCATCAACATCCACCCCATTGCCAGTGCTTTTCTGTGGTGACACAATTTCTTCCGTCTCCTGCGAGGAGGGCAACTCTTCCGCAGAATCTGTACCAACTTGCGCGAGTGGGACTACCGGCTCGCCTTCTTTTTCCTGCTCTTTTTCCGTTTCCATGGGAGCATCAACAACCTCTTCCTCTGGTTCAACCACCTTCTCAATCTTCTTCGCATTCTTGGCTGCGCGAGGGGTCGTGCGTCTTCCACCCCTGGCTTTCGTGCCTCCTCGTCCGCGCTTTGACTTTCGTCCACGCCGACTTGGTGTTACTTCTTCGGCTTCTTCCGGTTCGGCTGCAGGCTCACTTGGAGTTTCAGATTCTTTTGGTTCCGTATCCACTTCGGGAATTTTCGCCTCCACTTCGGGGTTCGCCTTGACTTCCGGTTCAATTGTCTCGTCTTCTTTAATTGGGTTTGTTGGTGGCTGAAGAAGCGGGAACTAAAGAAATATTTCAAATGTAAACCATATTGTGTAGATAAAACACCGGAGCCAAAGGTAAAAAACCCGGAGTTTGCACAATACTACAAGGATTGGGCCTAATTAACCTTTGATCTGGAGTCCAAGTTTATAACTAGCTGCTCTGAGTCAGCGACAATGTGTGTTCAGAGTACATCGACGATTGTCGGACCATTTGGATTGTCTGATCATTTTTGTTACGGAGTCTCAGACTCTATAGATACTTTCCGAATTTGCTCACGTGAGAGCATACGAAACAATAGGCTGATCGAGGCGGACAAGGAAATCTGTTGTAAATAAGTAGTTTTCAGCAAACAAACGGCAGCAAATTCAGGAAATGTCTTGTCTTGTTTGCCGATGTTACGCCGAGTGTCCCTAAAATCGCTTGACTGCTGTGGCAAAAAATTTGAACACCTAAGTTCAAAAACACAACTCTCAGAAGAAGAAAATATTTAACCAAAACTCTTCTTCACAACTATTCTTCAAAACTCTCCAAAGAATAAATTATTGATATTTTATATAATGCTCAAAGTTTTATTTTGGGAAACTGGTCGATTTACCCACGTTGAACCTCAAAATTGCTTGCCTTAATTATAACAAACTGAACTTACATAATATGCTAATTATTATTGTAAACAACTTGTGTGTCCATTTATGTAAATTTGGTAATAGTGAGCCCCCTAGATGAGCAATTATCGCTCTTGGGGCAAACTATTACTAAAGATTTATTAAACGAAAACCACAACACCGAGACATTAAAATATAATAGATCAGGAAATCAAAATGAAACAACATTGATGGCTAATTTGCTCAATAACTTACTTCCTCCTCTTCCTCATCCGCCTCCATAGAAAATTCCTTGTCTTTTGCCTCAGATACTGCCCCCAAATCTTCCTTTTCCACTTCCGCTTCTTCCTTTTCAACTTCTTCCTTTTCAGCTTCTTCCTTTTCAACTTCCTCCTTCTCAACTTCCTCCTTCTCGATTTCCTTTTTTTCAACATCATTTTCTTCTTCAATTTCCTTCGCCTCAGTCTTTTCTTCAGTTTCTTCCGTCTTATTTTCCTCTGTTTCCTTCTCGCTCTCCACGAGTGAATGGTCTTGAATGGAATCATTGATCGCAGAGTCGTTGAAGGACGACTCATCCGCCATCTTGGAATCGTCGTCATCTACTTTGGAGTCCTCATTCGGATCATACTCATCCATGCTGAAATCTGCCTCTTCACCCTGAGAAACAAAATGAATCACATGAATTCACATATACATGTAGTCATATTGGGATTCAGTGGCGCAAGTGCCTTTCTTGCGTTTCAGCGGGCGGAAAAAATTAGGGAGTTAATACGCGGGCGGGAAAAAATTGGACGTCGAATTTCAATTTCCAACCTGCAAACGGGCGTACTCTGCTTTACAATAAAGAGTTTGGTAGCCGACATCGACAGAAAACAAAATTACTTTGTGTACGTGTGCCAAAGCGAACATTACTAAACTTTATTCGTCTCTAAAAGTACAGTGCTTATATTTCTTTAGAAACAACCCATAAGTATGGATTCACATAAAACATCCCACACCACTTTGAACGTTTTAAGCGTTGGCGTGGTTATGAGGCATGAAAATGATGTCAATAACGTAGCAGTTTCAATAATTACGGCGTATTAGAATGCTTAAGAGAATAAAATTTACAGTCGCTTTTGTCTTATAGTAAAACATATATTGTTGATGACGTTGCCGTTGTATTTCCAAACTCACTACCAACGTGAGAAGAGTCAGTCAGCCTGACTCATACGAACACACTCATCTTTAGAGTGTTTATATGAGTCGGGTTAGTTGGAAAACTGTTTAGGTTTGTTAAATGTTTAGCAATTAAACGTTTGATTTTCTTCATTCTATTCTTCAAGTCACACCGCAGTACCAATATTACAGTAGGTTAAATTGAAATTTGAAATCAGCAAAAATGTCTACCTTACGTCAAGTTAGCTCTCCCCTAGCAGCGATGGCTAGTCTCGACTATGAACACAATGAAGGCTTTCTAAGGGCGACTCTGACGGCCACCTTATAACTCATGTCAGATCACGAAGCACAGAAATGGTGGAATGGTCAGTTAGGGGGTAATCCCAACCGGAGAATACCCAACTGGAGTACCCACGACGTTCGGTAGTGCTGACTAACACTTTACACAAGTGTCACAAGTCTGCAGCGGGAACTGAACCCACATCTCCGAGGTGAAAGGCACTTGCCAACGATTGCGTCACCGAAACCTGAAAATCTCTTCAGACTAACCTTTTCCTCCAGCGTACTATTTAGATCAGCGTCACCAGCTTTGTAGGTATTGCCATTATTTTCTTGTAAGACAACTTCTTTTCCTTCATCTTTCTTCAACATGTCCACCAAGTTTTTGTTCACAACACGTTGGTTGTCCAAGTAATCCGGGTTTTCTTTCAAGTATTTCTGTGGTTGGACAAAACAGCAGTGATCTATTTAATACGCTTTTTGCATAATATCACAAATATGTTCCATCAATGAGGGTTATAATAGAGATGTTCAGATTCAACTTCTACTACCGATATCTCTCAGTGACAGTGATCAATAGACCTTTCCCCTTATGAGTGAAATTTTGATCTAGATATGCTTGGGCAACAATTTCATCACAGCTCGAAAGAGCATCACAAAATTAGTTATATTCCAAAGTTTCGTTGTGAAATGTTGTAAAATGCGGATAATATAGCCTTGCGAAGTTTGCTGTTTTTCAGTCATTTTGCATTACAATCTAACATTTTGCATCAGTTAGATCATCTGATTATCAATTTCCCGTTTGTAATACCAAATGACTGAAAAACGGCAAACTTCGCAAGGCTATATTATCCGCATTTTACAACATTTCGCAACGAAACTTCGGAATATTACTAATTTTGTGATGCTCTTTCAAGCTGTGATGAAATTTTTGGCCAGACTTGTCTAGATCAAAATGTTACTCAAAAGGGGAAAGGTCTATTGCTGCATCAATGCTTTGGAACAGTTTTACCACATGAGCTAAGGACATGCTCCAACCTGGATATTTTTAAATCTAAATTGAAAACCCATCTTTTTAAACTTGCGTTTAAACTTGACTGAATCTTATACTCAATCTGATTGATCATTTTAGTAGGAAATTAATATTAACTTAGAGATTTTACTGTAGGTACCGTTTAAGATTCAGTTGTAAAGCACTTAAAACATTGTTGGTGAAGGCGCTATTATAAATGTTAGTATTATTTTTTATTATTATTATCAAGTCAATCTCTGAACCGCTGACTTACTTTATAATTAGTATAATGCTTTTTTCCCTTGAGATGTTCAATAATTTGGTGACCATGGCGCATGAAGATCTTACATAATTGACATTTGAAACCAGAAACTGCCTTCACAAACTCAGAACCTAGTAGAAGAAACAGTGAAAGTTATAGTTTTCGGCCCAAATGTGGTAGCAATTTCCGCACACAATACAAAAGTATAACAAAATTTGCGAACTTTACACGGCTATATTTTCTTCATTTTACAACATTCCGCAACCAAACTGTGCAATTTTACGGCTCATTTTAGTATGCTCTTTCTAGCTGTGGTGATTTATTTGCATCTCCTTGCCTGGTTTTAAAATTAGTCTATAATGGGAATTGACTATTCAAGACTTCAAATAACTTGCATGCCAGGTTACTGTTCTATAGAATTATAATTATACATCGAGTTGTGCATGCATAAACAATTCAAATGCTTAGTTACTTTCGTTCTTATCTATGCTTCCATAAGCTAGAACAATAATAGTATCAAGAAAGGTTTCAGTTGTTATTCAAAGTTGTGAATTGAGACCAAAAATCTTGTCTATGAAGCATAAAAACACAGGACAAGAACTACAGAGTACAGTACTCAAGATTGATATACAGTGTATGTAGAATCACAAACAAGTGAAAATTTATCTAAACAGTTTAACCCATTAAGTTGGATTGTGCCCTATTTATTATGTTACTGTGTTGAATGCCAGACGAGTTCACTTGTCAAGGGAAGAGCAAATGGATTAAATACTGTCTTGAAAAATAAAAATCTACTTACCCATAAAATCTTGTTCAGTTGTAAAATCTGTAATCTTGACAGTGCAGTCGGTCAAGGATGAAATATAGATATCATTATTTTCTTTTTTTGCTGTTTGCTTTGTGCTACAAACATACTTCAGAACCTCGCTGATGTCTTTTGTTTGGGGCTTTTCTTTCTTTGGTTCTTGTTGCTAAAACAAACAGCATAGTGAAAAATATGTGGGTTTGAATTCAACCAAGACCAGTTTGGAAAATAATCTAGGAGAAGTGCAGTAGTCTAGAAAATATATATTTCTCTTCCTGGTAACAAAATACAAAAATAAAAATTTCCTGTGTGAGTCAAATATAAAACTTGTATGTACTGTATCTGTATCATCATATTCAGATAAAATTACCTTCATAATTTCAGGATCAAAAACTTTGCCTTGTTTCTCAACGGTCGCTTTTACGTGACGTTCGCTCAAGAAATGCTTATTGATGTTCTAAAACAAAACAAAAATATTATAAGTCAACAGACACACACAACATTGCCATCATGCCCCTGTAACACAAACAGATCAACCCATCCAGTTGAACTTGAGCAATGACAAGTAATTAGCCATTCCGAAGATGATGAGAGGACTGGGGACGAGTGTTAAAAAGTGCCCAAATTAAGAAATGAACCAAATCACTAAAAAGACCACCTCAAAATTAATAAGTATACAAAGTTTGAAGACGTTTACATGAATACCCTTCGAATAATAAGCTTTCGAAAATCGTGAAATTACTGATTAAAAGATTGTTTTTGAGACGCGCGTCCCAAAAACAAAAATTACAATACATTTCATAGTAAATATCACAATTTTCGAAAGCTTATTATTCGATAGATATTCATGTAAACGTCTTCAAACTTTGTATACTTACTAATTTTGAGGTGGTCTTTTTAACGATTTGGTTCATTTCTTAGTTTGGGCACTTTTTAACACTCGTCCCCAGTCCACTCATCAACTTCGGAATGGCTAATATGTCTGAAAATCTCCGTCCAAACTTCCCTGGCCAAACAGGGATTAGAGCTGATGAGAATTGAAAGACTTACTCATGTTTGACCACCAACTCTCATTGACTCTCATTAATTTTGAACTGGTTCAAATTTTGATGAGAGTTTTTCCTACAGTATACACGTGGATAGACCACAAGCACTCCCTCAGGAGAAACTGCCAAAAACACATCAAGAAATGAAATACGCGTTGTTCACACAACGCAAAATCCCAATTGGTCAAAATCGATGGGCCAGTCAATCAAATTTGATATGCAGTAATTATGCTATAAATAATTTCCAGTCTAATATTGCTTTTATAAATAAATATGACTGGCTTAATTTAAATTAACGGTTCCTATTGGATATATTTAATTAGAGATAAGCAATGTTTATTCAAAGGGGAGCCTACTTGGCAAGAGCAAAAAGTGGGCATACTGTATTTTGTTTCTTGATGTGTTGTCAGCTTTGATGCGTTGTCGGCAGTCCCTCCTTTCTCATTCCACGCCCAGGAAGTTAAACCTGTGGAAAGGAGGGACCGCTCAGAGTCTAACGCATAGATAGATAAAAAACTTTATTTACCCAGGCTAACCCTGTCAACTGAAGCTGGTTTCAACAGGGGGCATGTAAAAAGGAGGTAAAAAAAAAACAATACATTAAGCTATTTACGATATACAATATCAACTAAGTCTAATATTGCAGGCTTACCTTTGATTTGAGGCAAACAACCTTACAAAGTGTGCACCAATAACGCTTGCCATCATAATTAGTTTTCATCAACTCTTCAATTTCTTCACCAGCGGCATTTGTTGAAATCTTTGTTTCACTTGGAGGAGTATCTTGTTTCTTGTCTTTGCCTTCAGCACCTTAAAAATTTAATTATACATAATTCAACATGCCATGTAAGTGGCAAACACTTCAAAAACATTAGGGTATGAAGTTATTTTATTGAAGGTTTTGTCAAACTAATTAAGGTGTTATTTAGGTTTAATAACAGGCTGTGAAAGTATTTCTTCAATTTTTAAGATTCACCATAAAGTTCTTAACTGGAAGTTCCCAACCAAAACATCTACAAGGAATTTATATCTTCAAAGTAGAACCTTAATCTTAATGCTGGACAATTTTACTCATCAAGGGGAGAGTGCATGCTGGCACTCAGTTAACCCATAAGTTGCATTGTACCCTACCTACTTTAATATTTTACTCTGTCTAATGCCAGGTGATTTTACTCATCAAGGGTTAGTTAAGGGAGAATCGTGGACATTAAATTAATAAGCTAACCAAGTAAATCTGTGTCATATTCACATGTAAAATATGAATATGCACAAACCTTTGGCTTGTGGCTTCACTTTGGTTTCCTTGCCTTCTTGTTTTGTATCTTTCTTAGCAGCATCTTTATCAGCTGTTGTACTCTTCTTAGCATTTTGATCTTTTCTGCAAAATTCAGTGAAAATATTTACTATTTAATTACTGTACCTACTTCATATATTATTTACCCCCTTTATTTTAAGACCTTTTGCTATTTCAGACCTGCCAACTCTCACGGTTTTGTCGTGAGACTCACAATTTTTTATGCTTTCTCACGGTCTCACGACAATGTCTTTAAATCTCACAATTTTTGAGGAAATGTTTAATTAAAGTGTATTTATAGCCATATATAGTAAGTAATACAACTCTTGTTTTCACTTATTTTGTAGAAACATCGTGCTCAATTTCCAATGAAATGATCATGAAACTGAATTTTGTTCCAAGATTTCCAATATTAAACACAGTACATACGAGGAGTATGTTCAGAAGAGACATATTTCGACTATTAAAATTCGACTAGCTAAATAGAGAACTGACTTTTTGATACATTTAATCCATAATAAGACAACCTTGGAGGTTTCTAAAATCTCACGGTTTTTCACAAAATCTCACGACTTTGTAAAATACAACTCACAATTTCTGCCACTCTGAGGTTGGCAGCCACACCCTTTTTGGAGTTTTGCTGAAAATCGCTACTGCACGCTCAATATCAGTCCAATTTTCACCAAATGTTCACCAGTGCATGCAAAATATGATAAAGTTGTAAAATTGACAAACAATAATTTAAGAATTATTCAGGAAAATCTTAATGTACTGTAAAAATTTAAGAAAAATTTGTTAAAACCCACAGGAGAACAACTTGTTTGAAAGTCAGTAATTGCCGTAAAATTCTTTCAGAGAAAATTGAATTTGAATATTACACTTTCAATGTTTTCTTATCGCAGCAAAATGTATTTTATTAAATAACTGAGTTTTCAACATTTTTCGTTCAAACTTGGTCAGATAGTAGAACTTGTCTAATGCTTTCATGGAAACCAATAAAACATTTTTAGGCAAAATTAACATTCAAAAGTGTTCAGTTTCATTTCACCCTACTTTGTTATTCCACTCTCTCTAATGCCAGATGCTTTTACTTGTCAAGTACATGTGAAGTAGATAAGAGGCACATTTTTTTATTCTCTTAAGCCATTGAGCTACAATGTGCCCCAGTGCACCCTACTTATTTTCTTGTTACTTGTCTAACACCAGACAATTTTACTCATCAATGGGGAAGCTCTGCAGCTTAATGGGTTAATTAAACCAAATAAATTTTAAAATAGTTATGGGAACCACAGAGTATTTTTATAAAATACAAAAGGGCAGTAACTCCAAATAACATTTTGTAGCTTTATTGAATCTACATTTCGACTATATTTTAGTCATCATCAGGACAGATATATAGTCGAAACATAGATTCAATAAAGCTACAAAATGTTATTTGGAGTTACAGTACTGTCCTTTTGTATTTTATAAAAATTTTAAAACTTCTGTAAGTTTCATAATTGTTTCCATGCATTGTCAACTTGAGTGTTGTTACAAGTAACAAGTCACTTCTTCTTCATAACTTTCTGAAGTAAAAATGAGACGGAAACTTTCACAACATGTTCAAGCAAGACCAGGATGAGAATCACTGAATCTCATCTATATATTTCAAAAATGCAGGCTTTCTGGCATCCTTGTGTAGAAAAGTAGGACAAAAGTAGGACTAGAATTTTAGGAAAAGTAGGAATAAAGCAGGAAAAAGTGTAGAAAAGTAGGACAAAAGTAAGAGTTTTGGAGATATGCAAATAACACAAAAATATACAAAATTGCCACCCCTAGGATATATGTGGTAAGGAGTAGATCATTAGATATCTGATGGGGAAGTTGCATGTGTGAATTTTTGGTGCTCAATATTTTTATGTACTCATTCATCTATGCAGGATTTTTTCTCAAAACTTTTAAATTGCATCGGTATAAAAGCTAAGGCATCTGCTCTGCAGCAACACAATTCAAATGCATGTATTGGGCTACACAATGCACCAATCCACACTACGGCAGGAGCGTATGTCAGGGCCGTAAGAAGCTCTTTTCGATTGTGGGAGGGGAGGCTGAAAGCGAGGGCCGAAGGCCCGAGGAAATTTTTAAATTTAGAATCTCTGAAATGCCATTTCCTGGACTTTGTGGAAAATTTGACAGAATTCTAATGGTCAAAAAACAGCGTTTTAGTATGTCGAAATTTACAATTTAGTAGTACTAAATGGGCGAAGGCGTATTTAACCAACTATATATTCGATACGTTGCAGGAAAGTATGGGTAATATCTTCATTCTTTGCAGTTCGCATGTCATAGATTAAATGATAAAGGTCTGCATGATTTTGAAAAAAATGATTACTAGCGAATTATTGGGGAGCTGCAGCCCCCCGGTTGCTACGGCCCTGTATATATGATGCTTGATTAACTGGGGGGGGGAGTTGAATATTTGGAATGGAATCTCTAGATCGTTGGAAATGACACTTTCAGAGTCTTCATTAATTTATTGATTATGATTCTAGAGATGCTATGAAATTATATACTCGGAAAATGTACTTCTCCTCCTGAGATCTTATCATCTGGGACACAAATATAGGGAATAAAAATTACGAGTCCTATAGATCTAATTACGAGAGCTATAACATACTGATTCCCCAAGCTGTCTTAAAAAAAGTAGGATTATATGAGAAAAAGTAGGAAAAAGTAGGAAAATCAAGCAATTTTTAATAAAAAATAGGAAAAGTAGGAAAGTTGAAGAAAAGTAGGAAAAAGTAGGAAAAGTAGGATGGCAAGAAAGCCTGCCAAGCTTGTAACTTTCTGATGACTATATCTCCAAAAGCCTACAGTAGTTAATTACGTTAAAGGGCTTGATCACATGCAAGCCGGCCAGACTTGACTTGCAGCGCTCTAACCAACTGAGCTACAGAGGGTTGTTGAGGTTCGATTTCTGCCAGGGACCTAAAGTTGCATTTTCGCAGCTGTTCCTGGATAGGTCTAACAAATGTATATAAATTTCCACTCGATAATTTCCATCTACAATACCCTTTAACTTGACCTATCTACCTTCCGATCTGTGTCTGATTTACAACCATTCACCGACTAAAAATACAAATGCATCTAAAGACCGGTCTTCACAATACGATTCGTGGTATACGATTTTATTTTTTGAAGAATGCATGTAATCAAATAAACACGAGTAAAGAAATTTTGCCGTGAACTGAATCAGTGAAATTGTGGCGTCAGCAGTAATTTCCATGTACCAAACGACAAAATTGTATCGTGGTGACAGGCCTTAAGTAATCAAGTACTGATCAATGATTAAATATTTTAAAGGTTATATGGCTATAAAGGATTTCGGTCAAGTATGAGATGAAATTTAATATTTACTTAGACATATTAAATACTCATTTTCAAATATAGTACACAAACAGAGGCCGCCCGTCCCACCGATTCTGTCACTCGCTGCAGTTAATTGATTCTCATGCAATTTCCTGAATAATCTTACTACTTGTGAGTTGTGTGTCAACGCGTATTTGACTTGTTATACTGTACTGTAAATATAATTTAGACATAGTTAGAAAATTGCCTAATTAGTAAATTGGGGCTTTCTCGAGGTATGAACAACTGAATTGTAGTACTGGTTAATACTTTCAATGTACCCATGATTTCATTTGTTCATACTCCTATAGGAAGTACTGAATATAGTCATGTTTAATGTTATTGTTGTTGTGTATATAGAGTTTAGGAGGACCAGATTGGAAAAAAGTTTTAACTTTATCTGTTTATCCTCAATAAATAAAGTGTTATTATTATTATTATTATTATTACTACAGTGAGTTTCTTCTTGTATCGGAGATCCCATTTCTCTAAGTGAAATTCTGTCGTTCTTTTGTACAAACTGTGGCTTTGCTGGTTGTTTGCAATATCGAGCCATCTTTATTACACCAAATACCAGCAAGAGAACGCAAACTGTAAGAAAAAACAATATAAATAGCTTGTCCAGTCGTGAACTTTAGCGTGAGCTGAATCATATCTCTTGTTGTAGAAATTTCCTTTGATGTAGTAGAAACTGAAAATTAAACAAAATAATGACGTATGTTTAATCGATATTCATATTTAGTATTTAGTATTTAGTAGGTTAGGGGAAGAGTTGGATTAGTAGCCATGTAGCGAGGTAGCCATTTACTGTCATGTAGGCTGTAGCCACATGTGGCGCCGTGGCCGGGGAGCCATCCCCCCCCCCCCCCATTGTTGAAACCCGTCGGAAAATTGTCAATGTTGTCGGAAATTGTCACAGTTGTCGACGGGGGGGAGGAGGTGAAGATTTAAATGTTGTCGTCCGGAAAAATTTTCGGTTTGTAGGAAAAGTACTGCCCTTGCCCCCCCCCCCCCCCACCACCTTCCCAA